ATTTAATTTAATTTAATTAAATTAGAAATCTTTTTTTTTTAAATAATAAATCCGTCGGAATTCCGTCGGTTTGCGTAGCCGTCGGAAATCCGTCGGCAAAAGTACCGTCAGAAATCCGTCGGTTACCAACGTCGTCGGAAATCCGTCGGAAGTTCTGGCCGTCGGAACTCTGTCGGTAAATGATGCCGTCGGAAATCTGTCGGTAATTGGAATCCGACGGACTTCCGACGGATTCCGGTTATCTCTTTTCCGTCGGAAATCCGTCAGTATTTCCGACGGATTTCCGACGGATTTTTATTTCCGACGAGATAGAACCGACGGACNAAAACCNTCGGAAAGCCNTCGNAATNGNGGTTATTCCGACGGATTTCCGACGGTTTTGGCCGTCGGAAACGACCCTGTTTTCTTGTAGTGTTAATTAGAGCAAACTTGGACGATTTTCCAAAGGAGCCATTATCATCCGCGATGAGTTTCCAAAATGTGGACGCATCCTTAAACGATGGAAACTTGCTCAAGCTTGCTTTCTCAAACCCATATGCCTCGCATCATTTTTGATTCATGTGGAGGACATGTGCTTCTTGCCTCAGAACTGAGGCGCTCTCTCCCTCTCATCCAGTTTTAAATCTAATCGAATTTCATCATTTTTATACAGATTTGGGTTTTAATTTTTGATTTGTGTTACATCTGAGTTATTGATTCGAATTATGTTACAGATCTGAGTTTTTTTATTTATTTATAGATAATTTTTTTAAACAGGTTATAAAGTTTTTAAACAATTTATAAATTTTATAAAAAATTCTTATAAACCTTTTTAAAAAATTATAAACTTTGTAAAAAATTCTTATAAACCTATTAAAAACTTTATACACCTTTTAAAAACCCTTATAAACCATGTAAAAAAAATTTATAAACCTTTAAAAACTTTATAAACCTTTTTAAAAACCGTATAAATTATTATTTTAATTATTCAATTTTTTAAAGATAATTAAAAAACTTTTATTAACTGTTTAAAAAAATTATAAAAACTTTAAATAGTCTAATAAAACCTTTAAATTTTTTTATAAACCATTAAAACCCCTTAGAAATCTTGTAAAAAAACCTTGTAAACCTTCAGGTTTCAACATTCGGGTTTTCTTTTGTTTTTTGTCTTTTTAATTTCAAAAACAAATATAATTTCATATGCATATATAATTTTGTATTTTCGTAATTGAAGTTGCAAATTAAGTTTAAAGTTTGTTTTGAGGGGTCTTTAAGGTTACAATCCCTCAAAATGGTCTAAAAGGAAAGACTTTTACAGTCTCTTACCTCGTTGCTTCTCTGGGTTTCGCTACAAAACTCGCAGAATCAATCTCAAGTAAAGTTAGTTTTGAGGAAAAGAAAAATCATGATTCTGTTATGAGTCTCTTTAGAAGTCATGGGTTCACGGATTCTCAAATCTCCAGCTTCATTACGAACTATCCGCGATTGCTTATATTAGATGCTGAGAAATCCATTGGTCCAAAGCTTAAGTTTTTACAGTCCAGAGAAGGATCTTCAACCTCTGAGCTCACTGAGATTGTTACAAAAGTCCCTAAAATCTTGGGAATGAGATGGGGAAAAACTATTAGCATATACTATGATTTCGTCAAAGAGATTATAGTAGCTGATAAGAGTTCCAAGTTCGAAAAGCTATGTAATTCTTCTTTGCCATAAGCAGGTAGTAAGCAGGAGAATAAAATGAGAAATGTATCGGTTCTGAGAGAATTAGGTGTGCCTCAGAGGTTGTTATTCCCCTTGCTCATCTCTGATTGCCATTGTGTCTGTGGAAAAGAAAATTTTGAAAAATCCCTCAAGAAAGTCATTGAGATGGGTTTTGATCTGACCACGTCAAAGTTTGTCCAAGCTCTGCAGGTTGTTTACGAGATGAGAGACAAAACAATTGAAGAAAGAGTCAATGTCTATAAAAGTGTAGGCTTTTCTGTGGAAGATGTATGGGAAATTTTTAAGAAGTAGCCTTACTTTCTGATGTACTCGGAGATGAAGATAAAGAACTCTATTGAAACATTTCTAGGTCTAGGATTCAGCAGAGATGAGTTTGCGATGATCGTCAAGCGCGTTTGTTGGTGCATGGGATATTCTGTAGCGACGGTGAAGAAGAAGACCGAGTTTGGGGTGAAGGAGATGAATTGGCCACTAAAGGCTTTGGTTTCAAAACCTCAGGTATTTGGATACAGCATGGAGAAGAGGATTGTTCCAAGGTGTAACGTAATCAAAGCTCTCATGTCAAAAGGATTGCTCGGAAGTGATGGCGTCTGTTTTGGTATGTACCGATGAAGTGTTTTTAAATAAGTTTGTGAGGAAGCACGACGACAAGGAGCTTGTGGATGAGTTGATGGTTATATTCACCCGGAAAAAAAAAGAGAAAAACAGATAACACAATCGTGTATCTTCACAGAGAAAACCAGGTAGAGGTTTTCATAGTCTTCATTGCCTTCTTCATGTAGCTCTCAAATCAAAAATAGTTGATCACTAACAATCTGGTTGATGAAAAGTAATATATGTTCAACTACTTTACTATGTTTACTTTTGGAATCCATTCTAGTTAGTTTAAGGTTGAAGTAATGAATTAAATGTTGGATCAGAGTTTAACGCGAACTGTATATATGTCGCATATACAAATCATATTTTTAGAACCCGGAATAATTCTTGTAACAATAGTATAACTTATATTATAGATAATGAACCTCTTATACTTGTGGTTTTGGAGAAATAAAATCTTATAAAATGAAATGTTTTATTTCAAAAAATTTAATCAACTAGACTATAAATTATGAACCAATATGTAACTTACAATGTTTGTTTGTTTACAAGTTTTTTTATATATTTTCATTGAATTTTGTTATCTCTAAACCACAAATCCTAGAAAATCCGTCGGAAATTTCCAACCGAATTCCTACGAAACTTGAAATACCAACGGATTTCCTAGGAGAATTCATTTTTAATACACATTTCATAATACTCATTTGTTTTTAGTTACATAATTTAGTAAAAAAATACACAATATATTACAAGCTTTTGCATTTTTTTAAAAAAGTCATTACATTAAAATATATTACAAAACACCATTTTTTTTAAACACATATATTACGAAAACATATATATAGTTATAACTACTTTGAATCCGATAAATAATCTGAATGTGCTCACTCTGAATCTTTCTCAAACTCCTCTATCTCTTCCTCTGAATCCTCAAATATAGCATCATATATTTTCTTTTCGATTTCCGATAGCAAGAGTTTCCCACGAGTTTTCAACCGATTTTCCAACCGAATTCTTACCAAATAAGTTTCCACGGATTTCCGACCCATCGTTTCAACCGAATTCCGACGGGTGTGATTTCTGTCGGAATTTCCAACCGATTTTGAACTAAAAATTTTCCGTCTAAAATATGTCTCAATTCGGTGGCAAAATTCCGACGACTTATAGTCCGTTGGAAAATCCGTCCGAAAGTGGCATGTTTTCTTGTAGTGAATCAAGTTAGTCTCTTGCAAATGGATGGACAACAACAACTCAAACGCTAAATTAATAAAAAGACAAGTAAAAATTACAAAGATGGAATAAAAACTATTGAGACATATTTAGTAAAAAAAAGACTCCAATATGTTACATTTTTAAAACTGACTAGTCAAGCCTGATCACAACTAAACTTTTAAGTCACATACTTTTTTTTTTTTTTAAATCACGCACACATATATGTGGAATAATCAAATATAAGACACGATCGTTGCTCCGGTCAAATCAATCGAGGCAATGCTGAGGAGCCATCTTACCACGTGCAGATCCGTCAACATTCTGGCACACTGCAGTAGCAGGACCATCCTCACGTCTTCCATTGTGTTTTAAATTAATGTCAATTAACTGAACATTCTTACAAGGAAAGCTTTTGCTACATTGTAGATTCACTGCCACCTTATTCTTCGACGTTCCGTATATGTTTTTTAACTTCAAATCTTGGATCTGAACATGAGACTCTCCCTACAAAGTTTAAGAAAAACTTTGTGTTATTAGGTTTTCTTATGTGACAAGAAAAAAGAAAAGAAGTTTGCATCCTTGTGTATCAAGTTACCTTCTTCTC